AGACCTATTTTTCTAAATACATCTCTAGTAAAATTTGAACTTTAGACCTGCTGCTTGGAGGGTGACAAATTAACCACTACTCTAAGTTGCCACACCTTTAAGATTTTTATTTAAATATAATAATTATATAAATTTAAAGTAAAGACTAGTTTAAAAAGTAGTATATATATATAATTTTTATAAAGATCAATACAGGCTTATAACTATAACTATTTGATATTAACAAAAAATCTTATATTTTCTTTTTTTATTTTTTACTTACTTTCTTTTTTTTCTATTTGTATATTTTATTGCATTTCTTTATAGCTTGTATTTTGTTTTTTATTTTTTTTATTTTTATAAAAAGATATTATTAAATTGGTAATATTTTATTGTAGAGTAATAGTTAAATAAGCTTTTGAGAGGATATTATCTTAATTGATTATATCTTACTAGTATACAGATTATTTATAAAGGACACTGAAAACTTTTGATATAGCTTAGATATCATTAAAAAAGGAAATTTTGTGTAAAAATTCATCAATTATTAGATTTTTATAGGGAATATTTTTATGGCACTATAGTGCCACAGCACTAGAGCATTATAGCCAATCAAAATTTAAGATCAGATGTAATGTATAGATCAGCTTTGTGTAACAAAAACCAAGAATTTTTTAAAAAATCAATTATATCTCAAAATTTTGTCTATGAAACCATTTTTTGGGCTCTAACAAAAAAAATTCTTTGCACAATTTTACTTTAGTTTTTGTTTAACCCCACATCAAGATCTCATACTTACCCTAATATTAATAAAAAAAAACAAATTTTTACTTTAAAAAATCAATTTACATATACGATCTGATAATTATATATGACATAGTGCTATGACACTATAGTGCTGCAAAAGTATTTCCATTTTTATATAGTAAATTTTTAAATTTTAGTTTATTTTATACACCTATTTGGCTGATATTATACAAACTCAGATCTGAGTTATATCAGAATTTTTCAGAGTTCTACTTATAAGTGCTTAAATAATTTTAGTTAGACATAAAATATTGATGTATATTTTAACTATTCAAAGGCTTTTTTGTCATTATCCAATATCCAAATATCCAAATATTTATAAGTATTCAGAGTATATCTAAGCTTTAATAATTAATAAGTTTGTTTAAAAAATATATAATTATATATTTTTTTAGATTTTAAATATATTTTATTTAAAAAATAATATAGATCATCTTAATAAAATTTTGAGTAATTTTAATTTATTTAATTGTTCAAAATTATTTAAAATACTTAAACTCACTATCTACAACTATTTTATAACAACACTATATAAAATAACTGCAGAATATTAAAACTACAAATATATTAATATAATTTTATTCTTAAAAAAAAACTTTAATAAACAAAATTACTAATATAAGTTGTCTAAATAAAAAAATTATTACTATTGTATATTAATTAATAATACAGTAATTAAATAAAAGATTATCTATATATTTATATTTTTTATACAATTATTAAATATATTCTAATTTTGTTATTTATATTACTATTTTGGATATGGTGATTTAGAGTAATAGTTAAGTTATCACTCTCTAAGCAGCAGGTTTAGAGTTTGAATCTTATTGAAGGTATTTTTAAAAAAATAGATCTGTGTACTAATAATATTTATTTAATGATCAGTTGGATATATTATCTATAATTTTAGTACTACTATCTCAAAATGAAAGCTCTTAGACAATTCAAATCTAAGAAATCAGAATAATTGAAACCTATTTAGTAAAACCTAAGCAAAGAGATAATAAAGTTCTTTGATGATACTAAAATAAGCCAAAACTGAAAACTAAAGAACTAGACAAAAACTTTGAGACAAAAAAGGTCTACTAACTTAACCATCAGAGTCATACTAGAAAAAGGTCCTATGCTATAAAATTAGAAACCAAGAGAAGTAAAATCAGAAGTCACTTAAAGTCTAGATACAATGATCTATCCAGATTAACTAGTTTGGTGGTTTGAAAAAGATTGATACAAAGACTGGTTTAATGCAAGTATCAGAATCAGAATAAACCTTGTAAAGATATAAATACTAAAATTATGCAGTTTAATAGTTAACTTTGACTGCTAATAGAGTTTCAGTTACTGTAAAAGGTATTTGAAACCTAATCTAAAAATGTGTAGAATATAAAAAGATTAGAAAAGTATATACTACACCTTTCTAAAAATAATCAGATAGTATGGAAATCCTATTAATTATCTATAGAATTAGGATATAAGTAGTAAAACACATATCGATCTGAATGGTCTTTAATTAAAGTAGCACAAGGTTATAAGTTAGCATAATTGTGATGATGATGTAGAATAAGGAATATCAGAGAGTTTAAATAAGTAATCTTCTAATTAAATTATAGATATAGCATATAGTATAGGACTTTAGAATAAACTACTTAAATAGGCAACCAAAAGTTGTAAATATGGCTAAATGTACTCTTATTTTTTTTTTATTTCAATGATCCTTTTTTTATTTTATAAATCAGCAACAGATTACAAATAGATATTCAGTTAGCTAGACCTACATTATCCATCATAAACTAGTTTATACCTGTCTAAATAAAGAATCTTTTAATTTGTTTCATTATCACAATCTAATCTAGCAAACCAAAATTAAGCACTAGAATATAACCCAGAAGTGATTCACCTAAGTGAATATTTTTCTCCACCAGGGTCTTTAATTTTCTGAGGATTTTAGCCTAATATTAACAGATGGTTTTTACTATTCTTGTCAGAATTACCATTCTACAATAGAATGCCATCAATTTGATAACACTTTCTCATAGAGAAGTAAAAAAAAAAAAATAGTAAGTGTAGAACGAAAATAAGGTAAGTATAAAAAATAAATATATAAAGAAAACAACCAAATTATAAAGGAGTTAAAAGACTATTCTAAAATCTAAAAGAACTTGACTACAGATATAAAAATCTGCTAACTAGGTAAAAACATCTATATAGTCATAAAAATCTATACATAGAGCTATTTGATATAAAAACAAACTAAAGTACACTTTAATCTGTGCTAAAAGCTAAAATTATATATATGATATCAGAATATTACATATCTCATATAGTGTTCTAGTTATAACTCTCATATAAAATCCAGCTTGGATCCAAGAACATTCAACTTTAAAACCTTGATATATAATCATTAGTTTTAATTTTAATCTCAAAACTTCCTCCTTATATGTGTTTTGTTATTTTTTTAATTCGTTATATTGCAACTCAAGACTTTTCAAAAATGGAAGTAGTAAATAATATCGATCTCTTGCTGATCTTTTGGAAAGGAGTAGCCAAATCCCCACTTTTTGTTAAAAATTTTGAAAAAAAGTGGCAAGAAAATATAGAGGTTTACAAGGTTCAACCATAGTAAATACTTTTCAGATTGTTTCTTGTTCTTCTTTTCTTACTATCCAAAGTTTTTCTTTTATTTAATCACTATCAGAATAGACCTTCTGGCTTAGATGTTGAATATAAGAAAGAGTCTATCAAAGAGAAGAAAAGGCTTGACCTAACCTAAAAACTGCTTCTCTAATGCTCGCTCCTTGATGTATTACATTAGAAGCTTTGTTATCAGTAACTGAAAGAAGAAACTTGGATAGTTTTAGATATCTAACTTCAAATTTTTTAACTTGAGTTGATTAAGAATAGTTGGTTCAAATGATTGTCAGAAAGAGTTGCTGACTTTGTTTTATAAATCTATTCTCATTAACCAAGAATATAATATTTAAATATCTAATAAAAATTTACCTATACATGATATTGCAAAAATAAATATATATATATATATATATTATCATCTCTATAAATTAAAACTTATAAAAGTTTAAATTTTAAATAGATATTTTGGTAACTACCATGCAAAATTTAATGAATTTTTTTTATTTAAATTCTAAAAATTTGTAGATATCAGGAAATTTTAAAAACCGATTTTAATCAGTTGCAAACAGTTAATTGATTATAATCAATTAACTTTAAGCAATTATAACTGATAGTGGTGTTGATAATTGATTTATATCAAAGTTGATAATAATCATTAATAATAAAAATTGGTACAATTTAAAAGATTATAATCAATAACAATAGTTTATATCAATTATAATCAATAAAAAAATAATTGATTTTAATCAATGGTAGTGATAAAAATCGGTTAAAATCCTTAGATTTTAATTGATTATAATCTAATTTTAAAATTTTTGATGAAATTTAAATAAAAAAAACATATTGAATTTGACTTCATTGTTGAAATATTTTTTTTAAAGTTTGAAAAAAATTTAAGTTCTTATTTTAAATAGATATTTGAATTTTTTTAAAACATTAAACAAAGATATCTTACAACTACTAAGCCAAAATCAATGAACTTTTGTTAATTTAAATTCTATATATTAGTAGAATACAAATAAAAATAAGTTTATTGATTTTGGCTTAATGTTTGTTAAAATATTTTTGCTCAAAGTTTAAGAAAAATCTGACGCAACCTTTAATTTAATGGATATTTTGAATTTTTTAAAAACTTGAACAAAGATATCTTGAAAACCACTAAGCCAAAATCGATGAAATTTTTTTTATTTGAATTCTACAAATTAGTATAATTCAAATAATCAATTTTGGCTTGGTAATTGTTAAGATATTTTTACTCAAATTTGAGAAAGTTTACCGCAAATATCTCGATAACCATCAAGCCAAGATCGATAAATTTTTTTTTATTTGAATTATACTAACCCGTAGAATTCAAATAAAAAAAAGTTCATTGAATTTGGCTTAGTGGTTGTCAAAATATTCACTCAAAATTTAAAAATTTTAAAATTCGTAAAAAATGATTATCACGTGATCCGATAAGATATTTGATTTTTAATGATCTACAAAAACTAACCAATCAGAATGAAAGCCCGCTATGCCGAGGTAGAAACAAAATTGTTTTTTTTTTTTTTTTTACGTATAACGCGCTTTGCTTTATCTAACTAATGGTATGCTAAAGATTGGACAAAAAAGAAATTTCAACTTTATCCATATTTATTTTATATCTTTGTTTGTAGGCTACTGCAACAATCAACCCAAAGGCTTTCCCACTTGCGGACGCTGAATTGACAAATCAAATACTAGATCTGGTTCAACAAGCTATGCATTATAAACAGTTAAAAAAAGGTGCTAACGAAGGTAAAGTTGTATATTCTATTCTCTACTATTCTTAAAACAAGAAACGTAAATTGTTCTTATTTAAATGGACCGATATTAAGTTTGCATGTGCGTTTGGTCCTAATTTTGAACGTCATTTACGAAAAGAATTTTCTTACTACTTTTCATCAAAAAACAATATAGCTACAAAAACGCTTAATCGTGGCATGTCAGAATTTATAGTTATGACGGCAGATGCACAACCTATCGAAATTTTGTTGCATCTACCGTTATTATGTGAAGACAAAGTAATTCTAAACTTCTTTTCAATTATCCATTTCTCTTATTTCTCATTTTTCATTTAACCATTTTGATTATTTTAAAAAGAATGTTCCATATGTTTTTGTCCCTTCAAAAACCGCTCTTGGTCGTGCTTGTGGTGTTTCTCGTGCTGTTATTGCTGCTTCAATTACCAGTAACGAAGCTTCTGAACTTAGACCTCAAATTCAGGCTATCAAAACTCAAATAGAAAGATTATTAATATGACTGATTTGTTTATATAACATGATAATAAAACTTAACATGAAAATTTGTGTTACCATTTTTAATTGATTCTACAACCTATATCAGATCAAAAGGTGCTTTAATTCTACTAGGACAACTTAGTAAGGATCACCAAACCGCGAGTGATGTAAGAATTATATATATGTATTATATAAAATTTCTTATTGCAGTTGCAACCTTTGAATCATCATGGTTTAAATTTTGCAGTTTCTGACTTCTCCGGTGAATTCCTCATCTCATTTACTTAAGAATAGTTCTGTAATTTCGAATTTTGGCCTAAATTAAGCTTAATTCGGGCCAAAAATCGAAACAACTCTCATGGGTGTTATTACGCGAAAATATTGTATATTATAATCATAAAATAATTGTCAACTAAATTATTAGATATATTGAATGGATTTTTTATTCAAGATTTTATTTAAAATTAGTTATAGTTATTTTTTTTTCCTTCTTGTGTAGAACAACTCTTATTGTCAAATGCATTGAATGATTTTTCATTTCACTAGAATAGAACCACTCATTCATAAAAAAAGAATTAATGTACATCCAAAAAGTAAAAGTCTTGTATTTATAAATAGTTTCCGGTGTACTGTGATATATATATTTTACTTGCATCTACTAATAAACTCTAGCCTTTGGCGGTATCTATATAATATAAAAACGATAAAATCAGGAATTCGAAACATTAAAACATTAAGAAAAATATTAATAAGATAAATTTATATACTTACACTAGCACATTCATTTTCGTCTAATGTTTTTTGTGTTACTTCTCGGTATTTTAACGTGACTTCACCCGTTTGATGATCTTGCCAGGATAACGTATGCTTTAACCATTCAGCATCATTACGCTCCTAAAAAATAATCGAAAAAATAATCAGCCAACTTCAAATGCTTTATTGATAAATGCCAAACATCTACCTTGAAATCTTCACGAGCATGAGCCCCACGAGATTCTTTACGGGCCACCGCAGAATGCAATGTTTGAACTGCATTAGTCAATAGATTTTGCAATTCTAAAGTTTCTATCAGATCAGAATTCCAAATCATTGACCGATCAGATACTTTGACATCTTTGAAAGATTCCCACACTTGATCTATGTTTTTAACGCCTTAATAAATGTAAAATCATTAGTCAATTATAATATTAAAGTGGCTTCTGATCATTTTCAACCAACCTTCCTCTAGAGTACTCTGCGTTCTAAAAACAGCAGCGTCCTTTTGCATAACCTTTTGCATCTTTAAACGAAGATCAGCAGTAGGTAATTTGCCATTCGCGTTACGAAGCTTATCAAGATTTGCAATAGACTGAGTGCCTGCATCTGGAGCGAGAGGTTTATGTGGTGTTCCTGGCTCCAAAGTATCTCGAACATGGTGAGCGCATGCACGACCAAATACGACAATATCAAGCAAAGAATTTGCACCGAGACGATTAGCACCATGGACAGATACACATGCTGCTTCACCAGCCGCGTAAAGTCCCGGAATTATCTTGTCATTGCCTTTCTGCAAAAACACATTTTGAATTAAAATTTTGAATTATAATCAATTTTTTATTTAATATAAACTTCAAACTAACTTCATCAATTGTCAATGCTTCTCCAGTATATCGTGTTGGTATACCACCCATGTTATAGTGAACAGTTGGTAATACAGGAATAGGCTCTTTAGTGACATCAACACCTGCAAATATAGCAGCAGTTTCAGAAATACCAGGTAAACGTTCACGCAATACTTCAGGTGGTAAATGTGAAAGTTGCAAGAAAATGTGGTCGTGTTCAGGTCCAACTCCGCGACCTTCACGAATCTCCAGTGTCATTGAACGTGATACGACGTCACGAGATGCCAAATCTTTGGCTGTAGGGGCGTATCGTTCCATAAAACGTTCACCTTGAGAATTGAGAAGATAGCCACCTTCTCCTCTAGAACCTGAATATTAATTATAATTAATTATGGGCATTATACTTCTTGATAAAAAGTTGAAAAAAGAAAATAATCACCTTCAGTAATCAAGCATCCAGAACCATAAATACCAGTAGGATGGAATTGTACGAATTCCAAGTCTTGTAAAGGTAACCCAGCACGAGCGACCATTGCATTTCCATCCCCAGTACATGTGTGTGCACTGGTACATGAAAAATAAGTACGACCATAACCACCAGTGGCCAATACAGTTTTATGAGAACGGAAACGATGTAAAGTACCATCTTCCTGATTTATAGCAATGACACCACGACATACTCCATCTTCCATTAAAAGATCAAGTGCAAAATACTCGATAAAGTATTTGGTATTATATTTTAGAGATTGTCCAAATAATGTATGTAAAAGAGCATGACCAGTACGGTCTGCAACAGCTGCACATCGATAAGCTTGACCACCTTAAAAAAGCAATTGAAAAAGCAATTGAAAAAGTAATTGAAAAGCAATTGAAAAAGCAATTGCAAAAGCAATGGATGAAATGCCTATTAAAATCTATACATTTAATAAATATTAATACACGTCACTTTCTGGTTATATTAACATTTGGATATACCGATATCTGGCTATAACGACATTTTGTAAAATTTTGAACCTGTATATTTAATATGAAAATGCTTCTGGTTAAACCGACATCTTGATATATCGGACAATTTATTTTTTTGAGGTGTCGATATAATCAGAGTGACGCGTATGTGAAATTAAAAGCCATTGTATTATAACAAACCTTGTCCAAACTTCAAACTTTGTCCACCAAAAGCTCTTTGATATATTTTGCCTTCCTCAGTTCGTGAGAACGGTACACCGAAATGTTCAAGTTCAATTACGGTAGCAGGAGCTTCACGGCACATATAATGTATTGCATCTTGATCACCAAGCCAGTCACTACCTTTGACAGTATCGTACATATGCCAACGCCAATCATCTTCAGTCATATTACCAAGTGCGGCATTAATGCCTCCCTAAAATATGTTATCTTAATTAACTGTTAATTATGTTAAAAATTTTATATTTTTCAAATTTACCTGTGCGGCGACTGTATGTGACCTCGTAGGAAATAATTTTGTGATGCATGCAGTATTAAAGCCAGCCTCTGCAAGACCGAAAGCAGCACGTAAACCAGCACCACCGGCACCGACTACAACTGCATCATACGTGTGATCAATTACTGGATATTTGTTTGAGATCGTTGACTGTTTTTATTTAAAAATAATTCTATTAATGTCAGTATAAACTTTCTTTTTTTACCAGCTAAAAATTTTCCTATTGAAAAAAAAATCAAAAATTACTAACTGGTGCTTCTTTAGCTCTTAAAGGTTCTGTAGCAATTACTCGTAAAGTAGGCTGTGAGGCGTGAAATGCTCGAAATAATGCTGGAGCCGAGAACTATAAGAATCATTAGCATTCTTTTTCAAAAGAAAAAAAAATTGAAAAAAAAATAAAAATTTTAAGTAGTTATTACTGTTTGGACCGGCCTTGTACAAGACTTTAGTAGTTTGAACATTTTAAAAATTTATAACGAGAAGCTGACAAAATATCTAATATGATAATAAAGATGATCGATTTTTATCATACGATCATTGATTGGTAAAGATTATTGGTTGACCGCATCAGTTATAGATGGCTTCACGTGATGGACATTAAAGTTTTGGCGTTAAGATAACATAGCATATATCAAATTTTGGTATTGTTAATAAATACATAACGATAAGAGAATTTTTATTCTATATGGAAAGTTTTGTGGTATTTTTCAAATTTTAAGGATATTTTTAAACTCTAAACTGTAAATCCGTATATGGGTGAATTTATACTGTATACGTATAATATATAAATTTATATTAAAAAAATCAAAGGAATTATATACACTTAGCAAAAACAAATACATACGTATTTATTTTTTGTACGTACGTATACAGTATTTAAATAGCCTATCTGCTATTCAAACACTCGATTAGCAAGATTATGAAAATATTATTACCTAATACATTTAAAATCACACATTGGACACTAATTGTCTATATTCGAGACAATCCGGAATTTTACTTCATCGAAATTTTACCCTTTAATGCTAGCCAAATTTATATTAGTTCTGGCCAGCACTAATATAAGATCCATCAAAAATTGCAATGTATTAACCTTATACAAAAACTAATTTTATTTTAATGCTGGTCGAAATTATCTTTAAAGCTGTCTGCTTTAGCATTTCATATTTGTAAAACAAGGTAATTTGGGCCAATATAGAATACGGAGTTTCGGAGTAGTGTAAAAAAATTTTTTGCAGCTCGGCCGGGGGCCTGTGTTTCCTTCACATGACTAACGTTTGACATCGGCAGATCGTAGCTTATATTCATTCAACAGCTTCGCTTTAAACCATTCTTCGGTGTTTCATGCTCTAGATTCTTAAGCTTTCACACTAGCAATAATTTATTATTATTCTCCGCATAAACGTAAATAAAAATGCTCATCAAAGTAAAGGTAACGTCGTGTCCTTATTGAGATCTATAATATTTCTCTGATCAAATTATAATTCTCTTTTCACTACTTTTAGACTCTTACCGGCAAAGAAGTATGTTGCTAAACAGTTTGCTTTA